CTCTTTGGAGCAGCGGCCACCTGCCTGCTGCCACAGGATGCTTGCGAGACCTCGGCATGCGGCTGACACCCAGTGCCCGCCCGGCCCGCCCCGTCGCTGCTGCCAGCCAAGCCCGGAGAACCGTCCGCCTGCCCCTGGCTGCCACGGCCACTCTCTGGGTTGCAGCGGCCATGGCGGGGGGGGTGGGCGGCTCCGGCGCCAGGGGACAGGCGTGCTCACGGGGGGGGGGGGCTGCCTCTCGGCTCCCCTGGAGGGCTCCACTTCGCCGCTGGTGGAGAAGCATCGCTGCTCCTGAGCTGCAGGGGGTCCGGCTGGGATGCGCTCCTGCTACCCCTCCGCTTTTCCCAGCGAGTTCGGATTTCATAGGATGTGGCGATGCCCTTGGGATCCTGACCCATTCCTGCCCTTGAAAGCCGTGGGCTGAGCAGCGCTGGGGAGAGGCAGTGCTTCCCCCGCCCCCCGCCTGGGGGCCATCTCCGAGGTGCGGAGCCACACTGCTTGGACCCGGGGCCGTGGATGCTGGGAACACAGCGGCTTCTGTTCCAAGCCCCCTCAGCCCCCCTTGGCACACCAGCGTCTTCCGACACGCCACTTGTGGAACCCTGCCGAGGCACCCTCTCCTCCAAAGGGACCTGGACTGGAGGAGGCGGCCGGTGGTGGCGCATGGGCCAGGGTACCCCGCTCTGCCAGTCAGGAAGCTAGGCGTGAAAGAACAGAGGGACTTTTCTCAGGAGGCAGGTGCAAGAGGTATATAGATATATTCCAGGGCCCATTTCCTAAGAAACGACAGTTGCTTTACATGTGCTTACATTGAAAAAGAGTGCAGCCAGGTATTTATCCACATTGCTATTGTACAACAGCCGTCACAGAACACACAATGGACAGGGTAAAAAAAATTAAAATTAAGGGGAAAATATACCAAACGAAACATGAGACAGGAGAATAACTCCCCGTACAACAAAGATAAATACACAGAGAACAAGCCCCGACTGGGACGGTTGGAATTCCGACTTTGCGGGCTCCTGGTTTCCCATAATCTTTATTTACAGATATTTGCTCCCCTCCTTCCCATGTGTAAAAATGTTAGAAAAGTAATAGTGGAGGCCAAGAAAGGATGCCTGGAATTACAGGGGCCCAAGGCAGCCGGAAGCTCCCGTGAGCCACCCCGCTGCAAGGAAGTGTTGCTGCGCAGCAGTGGGGCACGGGCTTCAACGGGGCCCGTGTCGGAGGCCATCCCGCTGGATCGGGCCCTTTTAGCTGGCCCCAGTTGCTTTTTTTCCCGGGAAAGAAAGAAAAAGAGAAAGAAAGAAAGAAAGAAAGAAAGAAAGAAAGAAAGAAAGAAAGAAAGAAAGAAGGAAAGAAGGAAAGAAGGAAAGAAAGAGTTCAAAAATAACAAAAGGGACTGTATTTTTCTTGCCGTTTTAAAAATGTTTTCCGTAAAGACAAACAAACAGCTGAATGCGAACAGCATTGTGCCGGCAGTTGACCGGGGTTTGAGATTGCTTGTGGGGCGGCCGGAGGAGGAGGAGGAGGAGGAGGAGGTGTAAAAAACCATATTGTAAAATTGAAGTGTGAAAAATAGAAACAATGCTTTTTATTTTGTTTTTTAAAAAAGCAACTCCAAACCCTTTTCTCGGATGAGCGGGGGCCGCTTTGCTGCCGTTGGAAGGCCCCTGCCGAAGGCCCCACGCGGCGCGACCTCCCTGGGGTCCCTTGCAAGGGTTTGGTGAGCATGGAAAGGCACGACCTGAAACTGGGGTGGCGGGTGATGGAAAAGAAGATTGCCAGCTGCAGCAACGTTCGGGCTGGAACACGGTCCCCCAACACTCCAGTTTCTTCCTCGCCCCCCCTAACCCCCGTCCCCATAGTCTGGGGCCACCAAGTTCCCACGCACAAATCAACACAACGCAATGCAACGCAACGCGGGGCATCCGTGCGCAAGAGGTCCACCTGAGAAGCGATCGCCTGAGTGGGACCACGGCGGTGGGTGCCATTGGCTTCACCTGGACATGCAGGGGGTGGGAGCCTTTTTGGGGGGAGAACTGGCGGGTGGGACGTGGGGGGCTTACCCGATCAGCAGTGCCAGTCTTTCTCCACAAAGCCCTCCCGTTCCCTTTCGTTCTCAAACCAGACTCAAGTCTGGCTTGGGGGTGGGGGGGAACAAGAAGCACCCCCTCGCTACTTTGAAAAACATGGACGGGGGTTCTGTTGCATGCTGGATGTGGGGCATCCCCTGCCGTGCGCTCCTCTCACGGACATCCCCCACACTTAGCTCGAACGCCGCTCCTTCCTGCGAGGGGTTTGGGAGCCACCACCTCTTCTCCAGGGAACGGCAGTTCTCTGGGAAAGAGACATACGCTACTTTTACGCTCGGTCTTCCCACCCTCCTGCATTCCCAATATTCCCGGGGCAGGCGGGCCACGAATCTGCAGTTACGCAGTGGGAGTTGAGGCGGCAGACTCTGGGGCTTCCGAATGGAGTGTTCCTCGCTCGAACAGTCAAAAGGCTTTGCACAGCCCTTTTTCTTCTGGCGAGAAGAAAAGATGTGGTTGGAGAGCACGGGAAGGCTGCAACTCCTCGCAATTGCGTGAAGAGCTTCGTCTGGAAGCCCCGCTGAGCTGCAAGGCCTGGGACACGGCAGCAGGCTATTCCTGCTCCGGGGGGATCAGAGTCGCTCCTGGAAAAGTAGGTCCTCTAACCTGTGACTCAGGACATTCACCTGAAGCGACAGGCCAGGTTCCGGGAGGGGGGACACGGACATCTCTGGGAAGGAAGAGTGGTGTTTCACGCTTGGCCCTTGCTGACTCCCTCAGCCTGGTCTGCAGAACCTGGTGTGGGTTTCCCTCTCTCTGCTCACGAGGCTCGCTGCCACAGACCGAGCGTGGGCCAGCCGTGACCGCAGGGGCTGCGCAGGTCACCTGGCAAGCCGGCAGTCTGGAGCTGCCGTGCACACTTCCCAGGAGATCTGCTCCATCGCGCAAACCCCGGGGCGGCCGTGTGCCCCTAGCCCCACCTGGCCAGTGGCGCTCGCCGGGCGAGGCCCCGGCCTCTGTGAAGACCCGCAGCGCCTGTTCGTAGCGCATGTCTGTCGGCCGCCCTGGGAGCGACTCCGCACGGCTCTGCCTGCGGAGAGCCTGCCTTGCAGAGGAGCGGCTCCCCTTCTCCGGCGCAGGGATCGGCGGGAACGGTGGTGTTCCGCTGATGGGGCGAGGCGGAAGGCAGCGTGGAGAAGAGCACTCGGGGGGATGTGTGGGTGGGTATTTCAACATCTGCAGCGGCAGGCAAGCCAAGAGCACAACGGGCGGGGGAGTGTGCCGTGGGGATGCTTCACATGTGTCCGGACTGTGCAGGAGTCCTGCTTGGAGCATGGATGCCGCTGGGCCAGAGTCCCAACAGGGGCACATGCGAAAAGGGTGCTGCTCACGGCAGCTCGCACGCCGAAGGACGGGGCCCTTTGTGTCGGAAGCCTTTGCCACGGCCCCCGTTTGTGGGCAGGCCCCGTCCGGCACGCCCGGGGCCAGAATCTCCCCCGCGGGAGGGCCGATGCCGCACTGCCTTGGAGGCAGGCTCCGGGGCTGGGGGGGGGTTAACAGGAAGCGGCGCCGGGATGTGTCTGGAATGCCGATCCGCTTCCCTCGCTGCAGAGGAAGCTCCGATTTGGCAAGGGCGCAGGCGGGGGGGGGGTGTCTGTGCGTGGACCTAACACAAACCAGCTTGCTTCGGGAGGCACCTCCGGGAATGGAGACGGGAGTCTCCCGGAGGGCGGGGGTCTCGCCCACCTCCCTGCCGAGGCCGCGCGGATGACGGGGAGAAAGAAAGGGACCCCGGAGCCCCAGCGCAGGGTCCAGTTTCCACGGGGGGTTCTCTCCAGTTGGATCAGGGAGCCCAAAGGAAGAGAAGTGGCGTGTTCCGAGGGAACGATCCTTTCTCGTCAGGGAGCAAATGTACCTGAGTGGGGAACCAAGCGGGGCGGCCGCGTTCTTCAGCGTGTGGCGTGTGAAACCGAAGCGGCAGGAGATGGTGCCGGCGGTGGGCAAGAGGAGCCCCGTGGAGGAAGGAGGGCAAGGCTGGACGCCCTGCGTCTCCCCCTCCCCGCAGCGAGCAATCCTCCTCCTCCTCGGGGGAGAAGCCCTCAGTCCATGGTCGGGCCCCTCCGGGCCGCATCCTCTCCCTCGGCTTGTCCTGCTGCGCTGCAGCCTCCCGCCAGAAGGGGGCGCCCTTGTGTAAATGATGCCGCCAGGCGGGAAGCCCCTTGGCGGGGGCCCCTCCGGGAAGCTTCCTCGGCCGTGCCCACACCCTTCCAAGTCCAAGGGTCTGGGGGTGCCAGTCCAGTGCCCCGTCCGTCTGGAAGGCGCATCACTCATTCCCGGCTCACATGGGCGGTACGATGAGACCCGACAAGGCTGCAAAGCAAAGGAAAAGCGGGGTCAAGGCCTGGGGGAGGCGGAAGCGACCCCGCAGCCTCTGCACGGCCCCTCCGCGCTCACCCGACGGCCCCGATTCTCTATCGCCTCGTGCGTGGCCAGACGCCCGGACGCTTAGCCTGTGCGCTACCCAGGGCGTGCGCCTGGCCCTCAGGTGCTTTCCGGCACCTCCCTTCCTGCTTTCTCCAGGGCTGCTACGGAAACTGTCTCCTTGCCAGACTGGCACGGCGGCCAGCGCACCGAGCGGCCAGAGATGCCCTTGCGTGAGGCTGCAAGCAGGGCCTTTGAGGTGGTGGCTCCTGGGCTGAGCCAGGGGTGCGTGCATTCCTGCTGCATGTGCTCAGCAGGGCCCAGAGGGGCTCTGTTCGGAATCGGTTTCCTTCCCCTCCGCAAGCGCAACCGTTCCCCCATTTCACAATCCCAGCGGGGTCCCCGGCCACTTCCACCCGGGCTTCCTTGCAGGGCTGTCGTGCAGGTGGGGCCGGTTCTCACAGCAGGAGGAGCAGAGACAGAAGGAAGCCGAGAGAGCGAGGCGGGGAGGGGAGGCGGGAGAACGAGAGAAGAGACATACTGCGATTAGGAATAAGCCAGTCCCTGGAGCGAGCGAGATGGCGTGTGGAACTTGTCCGCCGACTCCTCGAAGGTCTGGTCTGCTTGGCAGGAGCGGCCGAGGGAGAGAGAGGGGGAGCAGGGGCAGGCGCAGGCAGGAAGGAGAGCGAGAGCGAGCGAGCGAGAAAGGGGACAGAAAACATGGAATGTAAGAGCCATCCGGGAAGGGTGAAGGTGGCAGCCGAGCGTCCCGGGATTCTCCCAGCAGCCAGTTCTGGGAGCCCTCCGGGACAGAGGGCGGGAGGGAGGAAAGGCGTGGCCTTCCGATGGCTTCTCCCCATGCTGGCCAGGGCAGATGGGCACTGTAGTGTGTGAGCAGCTGGAGGGCCGTCTGCCCCACCACCCCGGCGAGGGCGTGCTTGCAGCTACAACCCCCGAGGAGGAAGCGCGGCACCCCTCGCTCGGCTGAGGGACGCGGCCACACCGGCCCCTCGCGCAGCGGTGGGGGAGACCGGCTTGCGCCATCGCCGGGGTGCAGTGGCCTTTTTCATAAAAGAGAGGAGTCGTCTTGGAAAGGGTGGTCTCGTCAAAAAAAACCAAACAAACCATCGGACCTGCTGGGTCAACCCCCACATTTTTTCCCCATTTTGATGATTGATGTTGTTTTTAGTTTTTCTTTGTTTTTAGGATTATAATTCTGAATAGAACCTATTTAAAAAAGGAAGAAAGAAAGCGTGGTCTCCAGGGACAAGACAAGGGAGGGTGGCAAAGCCAGGCAAGACTCGCCGGTGTCAGGTCTGGGAAACGGGGCTGCGAAAAGGCCAAGGGCCTCCAGCAGCGCTCAGCCTACAACACCCATCTTCCACACTGATTATGCCAATGGGAACTGCAGTCCAAACACCTGGAGTTGGGATGCTGAAAACATCTGGCACTAAAGCCCAACAACATTGCGTGTTCCTCCCACGCTTGCACTGCGGTTTCTTAGACTTTTTCAATTTGGCCTGGACAGTGGCCTAGTCCTCATTGAAACGGCCAGTCCTGCCTCAGACAACAGGCACACGCCCTCCTGATCAGAATCCCTTTGTACAAAAACAATCCTCTCCGTGCAGCACACTGGCAAGTCCCTGGGAGACGGAATCTGCTCAGCCTCCTCCCAGACTCGCTAGCTTTCTGGCTTCAGGGATTTTTGTTGTGGTGGTACAGAGAAGCATTCAGCCCCGTGAGGGTCCCCCCTGGAATCCGCACTAGGCCACTCTAGACATGGCTGTACCACCTGAGCGAGAACAGCACCATGCAGGCTCCAGAATGGGCCGTTTGGCCTGGGAAACTCAGAGGTGGGCCAGCTCTCCCAAACAATCGCCCCTGGTCTTGGGAAAACGCTCTTACAATTCCCCAGCTGCTTCCCCTGAGCAGAAACCTCCCAATCTGCCCAAATCTGTTTGAGAAAATCAGTGGTGTGACTTTGGGGCAGGCGGTGTGGGGGACGGCAAGTTTTCAGCCAGAAAAGACTGGCTGAAAAATTCAACTCTGTCTCCAGGAAACGCCTACTGCCTCATGTCCACCCTGGGCTGGACGGATTAAATTTGGACTCCAAAGTTTGCGGCGGTCAAGAGGGCGAACGCCACCCTTGGTTGCATAGCCGGAAGTGTGGCTTCTAGAGTGAGAGAGGTGTTACTGCCACTCTACACGACTGGTGTGCCCACAACTGGAGTATTGTGCTCAGTTCTGGGCCCCTCATTACAGAAAGGATGTAGCCAGGTTGGAGTCAGTGCAGCGAAGGGCCACAAGGTTGGTGGCCGGTTTGCAGGGGATGCCGTATGAGGCGAGACTGAGGGAACTGGGTCTCTTCAGCCTGGAGAAGAGGAGACTCAGGGGGGATCTGTTGGTGACATGCTGGTATGTGAGGGGGTGTCACACGGAGGTGGGGAGAGACCTGTTCTCCCCTGCAGAGGAAGGCAGGATGCGCTCCAAGCTCAGGGAGCCAAGGTTTCGTTTGGATGCCAGGAAGCACTTCCTGACAGTCAGGACCCCGAGGGTGTGGAATGGGCTCCCACGGGGGGTCACTGAGGCCCCATCGGTGCGGGTGTTCAAGGATAGGCTGGACGTGCGCATGATGGGCATGTTGTGAGCGGAGTGGGCTGGGGCCGGGGGTCAGACTAGATGGCCCGGGAGGCCCCTTCCGACTCGCCCTGTTTCTATGCTTCTGTGTTCTAACAGGAGGACAATTCCAGCTCAGACAAGCAACGTCTCGGCCTTGGTGAAGGGACAAGGGGTGCACTGAGGCTTACGAAAATGCTGCACCGCAAGGAGAGTGGGGTTCGTATTAGTGCATCTACACCTCCCCTTTTACTTTTGCAAGGAACCAGATGTGGCTTAAGAGCTCTCCTCTCCTGCCATCTTTACAATAACCCTGTGAGGTAGGCCAGGCGGAGAGTCTGACTGGCCCAAAGCCACCCACTGTGCCTGGTGACCCCATGGGGCCCGGAACCCAGATCCCCCGAGTCTCAGGCCGGCACTCCCAGTGCCCCACCACTCTGGGATGGGGGGTGGATTCCCTCCTGCACGGAAACCCCAACCCACAGGGGCGCCCATCACCGAAATGGCGGCCCTTGCAAGGCCTGGCCCGGTTCCATCCAGCAGCGGCGCCTGAGCCCCCCTCCGACCTGGGCGGAGACGGCGGCACCCTGTGGCCTGGCCGCGCTGCGGGCGGAGGAAGCGCTCGCTCACCCTGCAGGCTGTTCCCGCTGGCGCTGGTGCAGGTGGGCGGGGGGGATGCCTGCGGCCGCACCACGGGGGCGAAGGCGCTCTTCTGCTTGACGGCGGAGATCATGTTGACCGGGGAGAAGGAGAAGACCCCCGCCGGCGTGGAAGAGCTGGCGATGGACGAGGCCCCCAGCGGCGGGCTGGCGGGCATGACTGCCGGCGGGAGAGGAACCGGCATCAGTTGCAGGGGAAGCGTGGGGGGTGGGGGCGCGGGCGCAGGCGGGCGTGGGGGGCCAGGGACCGGGGCCTGCCCGGGGCTGGACCCCTCTCGGTGCCACGCTCCCAGGGCTTTCGGCAGAGCTGCCCAAGTGGGAGCAGGTGGGCCAGGCATCCGTGGCTGCACCTCCCCTCACTCCCGCCTGCCGTGGCCAAGAAGAGGAGTGCCCGGGACTCTCGTCAGCAGCCCCTGCTGACCTCTGGGCCTTGGCGGGTGCCCAGGCATACCGACCCTTGCCCAGCCCTGCTTCGGGTCCTCCCGCCCGCCCGCCCGAGGTGTCTCTGCTCCCCAGCTCTGCCCTGCTTCGAGGCCCTCCGGGCAGGGTCCTGCTTCACACCCGGGCTTAGCTCTGCCTGTTGGCTTAAATGCCGCGCACCCTCTGGCTACTGGAAGGAGCAGCCCGGAAGCCGCTCCTCGGCCACAGAGTTCCGCTCCTGCCCGCAGGCTCCGGCTTCGGGAATGAGCTCCAGCCTGGCGGGGCAGGGCATGGCTTCGCGAGCAGATGCTTCCCTGGCTCAAGCCCTGCACCCCCATGAAGAATGCCTGGGTTGGTGGGGAGGGGAAGGCCCCCCTTTCTGGCGGAGGCCCAGCGGAAGCCGTGGCCCAGGCGGAGGGACGGCGACTGGCAGCCCGGCCCTGCGGTGATGCTGGCCGGAGTCACAAGGCATCCGCCCCCTCCCACACCCTGTAGGGTTTCCCCCCCAGCCCAGGCAGGCCCCTGCCCTGGGGAAGGAACATTGCTGCCCGCCAGCCCGGCCCCACGCCCCACTCACTGGCGTAGGGGGAGTTGGCGGTGGAGCCGTTGAGGAAGCTGGGGGAGCCAGGCACCCCGAGGCTGGTCATGGCCGCCCCCGCGTAGCCGTTCATGCTGGACGTGATGGTGTTGTAGCCGCTCTGCTGGGGGGTGGAGCTGGGCACGTACCCCCGCGGCGAGGCGCTGCTCGTGTTGCGTGTGTACCCTGCAAGCGGAAGGGGGGAGATGCGAGCCGCTGCCCGCCGGGAACGGAGCGCACGGGTCCACGCTGGGGGCCTCTCGGGGGCCGTCCAGCCAGCGCTGCTGAGCAGGGCCGCGTTCCGGAGCGGGGCCCTCCCTGACTTGCCCGCTGCAAGTCAGGGGCAGCGGGCTGCATTCTGGCCCCCAGCTCTGGAGCCTGCCTGAAGCGCCTGGCTGGCCTCAGTTGGAAACAGGTCGCTGGGGCACCAGGAATATCGAGTCCCCGGGGTTTAGCCTTTATTTCACTGTCTTGCCACCTTGATGTGGCACCTGTCTTCCTCCTGCAAGGGGCCCGAGCTGGCTTCTCTCCAGTCTGTCCTCACAAGAACCCAGTGAGCTGCACAGGGACTAGAACCTGGGTCGCCCACGTCCCAGTCCAGTGCTCCAGCCCCTACGCCCCTCTGGCTCTCTGTGGGTTCCCCACTCCTCCAGCCCCCGGTCCTTTCCCATCCTCATCATGTGCGTCCCAACTTTTGCACAGACTGTTCCCCATAAAAGGCAGAGAGGCCCCCGCCAAGGAGCCCAGCATGAACCCGGGGTGGGGCTTTGGCCCCTGGGGTGCCGGCCCTGGGACCTCCCGGGCAATCGGACGAGGCCCTCGGGCTGAACCAGGTCCGACGCTCCAGGCCGGCTGGGCCTGCCGTGGCCCAGTCCTCCCGGCGGCTCTCCCGCCCCGGTCACGAGCCGCGCGCCCCCCCGCCGCCTACCTTGCTCCGAGCCCGGCGCGGCGTCGCTGAGGTTGATGGCCATCTGGCTGCCGAAGGAGTTGACGCCCATCACGCCGGCGTGCGCATGGTTGCCGGCCAGCGAGGCCAGCTGGTTGGGGTTGCGCGGGACGCTGTACAGGGCCTCGGCGATGTCCGCTGCCCGCTTCAGGATGATGTCCTGCGGAGGTGGAGAGCAAAGCCCTCTTGTGGGGGGGAGCGGAGGCACCGGGGCCACCGCGGGACCCCTGCTGCGGCACGTGGCCGGGTGTGGAGGGGCCTCCCCACAACCGACCTCGGCCCCGCCACTGCGCGACTGGGGCCTAGCCACGTTCCCTGCTCTGTTCCCGGGGTGAAGGGTTCCCAGCCCCCCTCACTCTCCCGGACATGGCAGCTGCCGCAGCAAGCATCCGATGCACATGGCCGTCGAGCATTCCCGGGTGGAACTGGAGGGGCTCGCAGGGGAAAGCCCTCTCTGCGGCATCCGTCCGAAGCTGTGTCTTGTCTTACTTCTCCAGTAGCCTCAGGGGCTCCCCAGAGCGGCACTCGGCTCCCGGACCGAAAGCTCTCTGCCCAGGCTTACGAGTTGCCCCTTCTCGTGTGGTGAGTGTAACATGTAGCCAGGCTGACCGAAGCCCCGGCTGAAATCTGTTTTCCCCATCTCCTGTGCGGGGCAGCAGAGAACCGGCCCCGCCATTTTGTGGTGCGCGGGCTTGGGGGAAGGAGCCGCAAAGATTTATGCCCCGGGAAGGAAGTGAGGGGCAAAACAATGGGGACCTTTAACAAGCAAAGCAAAGCTGCGCACCGAGCCAAATGCCTCCCACACGATGGCCTGACCCGACGCCTCCACGAGACCGCAGCAATATCCGCCCAGGTGGTGCTAACCGCTACTGAGCCGTGAAAACACCGGCTGGGCCCAGTTACGGGGGTGTGGGGAGGATGGGGCCGCTGCAAGCCCGTTACTTAATGGCCTTGGAATTCCTAATGACGAACAGATGTATGCCTGGGAGCCGGTCCTCCCTCGTACGGCCGGCCAGCTCTGTGCAGCTCGGGGGGAGCGGGGGGGAGGGACCAGGCGAGGTCCCAGACACGGAAATCATTACTGGCCGCAGAGCCGCAAGGACATTAAGACGCCCGGCATGGTCAGGGACCCTGGAACTCCGGGTCTAGAAGCATTCCTGCTCCAGAGCCAGATGCTGCACTCTGCGCGAGCTCAGACGGGAGACGCTCGCGGCTCCTCCTCATAGGAGGCCTGGCCTGGGGACTGTCATGTGGAGCAGGGCTGGGCTGTGCCAGCTGCGAGGCTTGGCATTGGCATCGGCCTTTCCGGCGGCCAAAGCCCTTCGCAGGGCGATCTCAGCAGTCCTGACAACAACCTGGTGAGGCAGGCCAGTGCCCCATTGCAGGCAGGGAAGCTGGAAGACGCAAGCCCTGCTAAAGGGACCTGGCGCGCATGCGCAGGGGGAGAGGGGTTCTGGAACGGGGACTCTGGGCTCGGCAGTGGCCGCCAGAGGTGCTGGAGCCGGGGGGGTGCTGCGGCCTCCGAGGGCGGAGAACTGGGGCCCGTTCCGAGGCTCCTGCGTGGCGTCAGGTCTGCTCCCCCACAGCCCGTTCCCAGGGCAGCACTAACGCAGTGCCCACAAGCAGGCCGTGCCTGAGAGCAGGAGCGCCAGTGTGTGACGGCCGGGCACCCGTCTGGGATGCAGGGGGCGCCAGGTTGGGCCTCCGGCACCTTCCGGAAGGGCTGGGAAAGAGCCCTGTCCGACCCCAGCAGAACCCTGACGCCCCCTGGAAGGAGCCGGTGGGCAGCACGGCATGCTTCCAGTTCTCCAGCGTGCCCCCGGTGGGCTTTGCGTCAGGAGCTCCCTTGGGCCGTCACTGGGAAACTGATGTGCTTGTAGAAGGGGACGCAGCTGGATGAAGCCCCCGTGAAGCCCCTCGCCTCTTGGCTCGCACCCCACCGTGCTTTCTGGGCTGCGGGACCTACCTGGTTGTTGTGTGGCATCCCGTACAAAGCCTCCACCAGGTCAGCGGCCCTCTTGAGAAGCACCTCCTGCAGGGAGAGAGGGAAGAGCGATGCTACGGGGGCCTTTCCACAGGGCCGCCCCCCCCCAGCAGCGCACCTTCCAGAGGCGCTGGGCTGCTGCTGGGCAGAGGCACAGTCCAAGGCTGCTGGGGAGGGCCAGGAAGCGGCCGGGCTGGCCCAACGCTGCTCTCCCCCAGCACACAAAAGCCTCCCAGCACTCCAGAACCTGACCCCAGAATCGCCCCCAAGAACATCTTCCGCGCTCAGTGTCCCCCACCCACCCGCTTCTCTGGGGCCTCTGGTTGCATGGGAAACCTTGCGGGTTTTTCACAACACGGTGATCAGCGGGATATCGAAGGCACAGGACACGGCGAGGGCGGGCTGGTTTGGCCCACCGAGCATTTTCCAGGCGCAGCCAAGTATGCGCAAGGTCCCCTTTTTCTGGATCAGGAAGCAGCGATTTTGCTGGGCTGGAAGTATCGCCAGCAAAGCACCAAGACTGCAAACATTTCCCACACCCCGTTTAAAAATCCTGCGCTGTCCCATTCATTCGTCTCGGTGCTTGTCCATGTATCCTCCCCAGGTTAGTGATGGGGCCAATCCCACCCAAGGAGGGCTGTGCAGCAGCCAGACAGTTGTTCAGTGCGTGCCCAGGAGGTACAGAGGGACCCGCAATTTCCTCAGTGGCCTCTCCTAGAGTGCCCCCACCTCCCACCGCGACCCTCATGGCTACCGATCTGCTCGGCTCCCCCCTGGGCCCAATCCACAGAGCGGGAAGCAACTCTTCCCTCTCCTTGCTCATTTGGAGAGGGCAGTCCAGGCGCAGCAGAGCTCGGAGGCCCCAGGAGGGCAGGGAGCCTCGGAGACAGCCTGATAGTGCCAGTTCCTGGTGCCGGCCCTGTCAGTGCCAGACGGTCTCCGCGAAGCCGAAGGCCAGAGAGATGACGGGAAAAGTGCAAGTCCTCATGAAAGAGGGCGGGAAAAATGGCCCCAAGGGGAAGCCCGATTTCTTGCACTGTGGAAAATGTTTCTGAGCGCAGGAAGATTTAGTCCTACTTGGGAGCTGATCTTAAGCCCTGCTTTGCTTCTTCCAGAGCTTCTCGCCTCATCGTGGCCACAACGCCACTGATGTGTGGCTTGGATGATTTCGTGTCCCTATGGACCTGCACCGGGAGGCGACTCTGTCCGTCCATCTGTCCAGGTTAGGTTGGCTCCTTGTTACTGGCTGGCCCAAACTACACCTCTGTGCCAAACATTTCCTGATTCATGCTCTGCATCAGTTTGAAAAGCCTCTCCTGTTTTATTGCAATCTAGGCATTTTCTCCAGACTCTCTTAGTTGGTGTTTTTGCTTTTTTTTTTCTTGAGTTGCTCTGGATCTCTTGTGTTTTATTGGTTTCATGACCTTATTGAAAATCACTTTGAGCACTCATGGAATGGACGGAGGATTCTTAATAAGCAAGCAAGCAAGCAAGCAAGCATTTCATAATAAGAATTACTCTGCAATTCCAAGAATTGGTGCCTGAGCTTGCTTTTTCTCTTTTTCCCTCCGCATCCCATTTTCCTTTTGTGCTGAACCTTTCCAACAAGTAAATCTTAATGTAAAAAAACCTGCCTGGAGCTTTTTCACTTGAAGCATGGGGTAAAAATGCTTGAAATGGAGCAGCAGAGTTTGCACGCTCGTGCGCACACACACAAGCACACGTGCAAGAGATGGAATGAAGCCCGTCAGCTATTTCATGGGGTCCCTTACCTTTCCCCACATGGTAGTTCTGAGCAGACAGGAGCTGAGCACCCTGAGGGCCAAATCGGCTCTCCCTGGAGGACCAGTTCAGCCATGCTGGTTCCCCAGTGGGCCAAGCCCCCGTCCTGGCCCTCAGCAGCCTGACGCCCCCCTGGCTTTTCCGAGTTCTTCTTTCCGACCCATATAGAAACTGGGAAGTGTCTCTCCCATGGCCCAGTTACTGGTGGGAGCAGTGGCTGCTATTCTGGGTATTTTGGCTCCACTCCCCCCCATAGGCCCTCCTCATCATGGGAACATACTTCCCCCCCCCCACCCCGAGAATTAGATATGGCTCGGGGGGAAGGGGGGTTCAGCACCCCTGGACTGCTGCAACACAGCCAGAGGGAACCTCCTCTGAAGGAGATTAGGAGTGTGGCTACCTGGAGAAGGGCCTTCTCGGCGGTGGCGCCCAGACTGTGGAATGCGCTCCCCAGAGAGGTCCGCCTGGCGCCGACTTTATACTCTCTTTGGCACCAGGTGAAAACCTTTTTATTTCACCATAATTTTAAGAATTAGGGATTTTAGATGTTAAGTTAACAGTTGCATTTTTTTATTTTATTTATATTTTCTTTTTATGAATGTGATTTATTTATCCCTTACTATTTATTGTTTTGATTACTGTAACATTATTGCTGTTGTATGTTATTGTTATTACTGTTTTTAAATTATTGCAAGCCATCCTGAGACGTTTTATCAGGAAGGACGGGATAAAAATGTTTGAAAGAAAGAGAGAGAGAGAGAGAGAGAGAGAGAGAAAGAAAGTAAGTTGTGTCCTGGGAATGGTCCCCTGTCGGAATGCAGGCAGCCCCATTCAGGAACCATCGAGAAGGCAAGGGTACAGATAGGTTCAAGTGTGGTTTTGTTCTCCCCTGACAGCTGTCAAAAGGTAAGCTGTCAAATGAAAAGCGCAGCCGCAGATTGGCCATGTCTTCCTGTGAAGAAACCCTGCTTAGCCCTGTCAAGCCTCCAATTTAAGAGGAGGCCTGGGTTTTACAGCTCCTGGAAATGACGTGGCTTGTTCTTTTCCACACTCCTCAGGCCCCAGAGCCCTGGGAAAAGGAAGAAAAGGTGCAGCACACTGTCAGGTCTACCTGCAAAAAGCTAGGGGGGTTCACTGCAAAGGGGGTGACCTGGCCACTCCTTTTCATGTGCAAACATCAATTCACAGCTCTGCTTTCATTGGATAACTCAGCCAATGGACAGCAGTCAGGGAAAGCAGCAACAATTTAATCCCTGGATGGAGCCTTCGAAGGGAGACACTGGTGTGGCAAAGCTGTCCATTTCAGGCCCTTGTAAGGGTGCGGGTGTCTGCTTGAGAAAGGCTGATTTTTAAACATGCCATTTGCAAAACTGCAATTTCTGCCAAGTTCATGACCCAAAATCTAGAAATCTGCACGCGGGTGCAACTGGGCAAAAATCGAGTTAGCACCCTGAGGGGCAGCAGAGTCAGAAACGCATGTCAGATGTTCATCCCACACATGGAATTCTCATGCAACCTTCCGCAAACCATTGCGGGAACACAAACCAGTAGCAGGAAGGTGCTTCTGTCCACCGGATCCCAGTGCATCCTGCAGGGAGCCCCCGTGTGTGGGCTGAGCCCCCCAGGGTCCTCCTCCCCTCCCCTCCCCTCCCCTCCCCAGCCAGAAGGTGACGACAACAAGCCCGGCCCGTCGCCTCCGGACTGTGCATCAGGATCTCAAGGCTATTGGATTGCTGTCAAGCTAAGTGCCAGCAATCACAGGCACTTGCTCTTCTGTCTTCTGCAATATCTGCCCGATCGATACGGTAATGGAGCGCACGGGGGGGGGGGCGGCGCTGGGGGGGGGGTGGTGGGCCAGCCGTTGCCGGGCGGGCCCCTGTTCGGGGAACACAGAACCCCCAGTCCTTCCTGGGCGGAAGGGCAGCAGGAGGGGGAGGGGAGGGGAGGGGAGGGCGGTGGGCAACGGCTGCCTCCGGCTCACTCCGCCGTGCCAAAAGGGAGGGTGGCCACGCAGGCAGCGCCCAGAAGAGGAGGAGAGGAGGACAGCGGCTTGCATCAGGGCCACATGGGTCTGCTTTATGCAGAGATGCAAATCTGAAAATCATCGACACTGGTTAAGGTGGGCAGCCCATCGCGCAGCAGAGGCAGTGGCCGCTGACCCGGGGGCCTCCCCATTCGGGCAGCGGTTCTCCTCCTTAAACAGGGACTGGGCCTCTCCCTTTATGCGAGGGGACACTCGGCTCGCCTGTCTCTGCCTGGCAGTCCAGCGGAGTTGCAGTGGGGATGCTTGGCCGCTTCCCCAGGGCAGGCTGGATCTTAGAGCCACAACCAGGCCCAGCCCATAGATCTAAGAACCTCTTGGGAAAGCGTCCATGCGCCACTGATGCTCAAGTGCCATTTCTGGTCAGAACGCGCTCCAGAGATCACCTGCCAAACCTCTGTGGCCACAGGCAGAGGCCGAGTGCACCTCCGCACGTCCTCCTGTGTCAAGTGGAATCTCCACAAAAGCCAAAACAAAGCCGAGCTCATGGTGTCGTTTTCCAGCCCGAACGATCGGACGATTCCTCCGAGGGGTCGGACAAGGGGAGGAAGGAGTTCCTTCACAAGTGCCATGACGGCCAGAAACACATCTCGTGCATCATGCTCCCTGCCAGACGCTGTGGCTTAGCAGTGCATGACGGCTCTCCGGTCCATTGCAGACGCCCCACGCGCTGCCACGGAGCGCCCAGCAAGCCTCTTCGAAGGCTCCGGGGCAGCACGGTCGGCTGCCTTCATGCCTGGCCTGTCCTCTGTGGAGACCTCACCAAGCCTCGCATGGGACTGTACCGCCTCCTTAATTTGGAGCTCACAGCTGACTTTAAAAAGCCGCAAAGCCCCGGAACCTCGACTGCGTTGCCTGCACACGGGGCTGAGCACTTGGCTGCTGGGGAATAGCAGGGCACGGACGGGGCCGGGTCGAGGACGCCTCCAGCGCACACACGCCGCAGCGATGGCGGCTCCGAGGAGTGGGCTCGGCAGAAGATGCAAGCGATGCGCCGCCCTCCCGTGCCCCTGGCCACACGGGCCTCAAGCATGCATGCAAGCACGCCCGCACACGGACCGCCATGAATACCTGTTGTCAGTTCCGCATGAGGCGCGGCGGGGGGGCGGGGGGGACGCGCCGCGGCTTTGCATTGCATCCTCGCCACCCCGCTAGACAGGTCGCTTAACGATGATGAATGGCGGGCCCAGCCTGGCCACCACCTCGGCGTCTTTGGGAGGGCGGA